GGAGGTTTTCAATTTAAATATTTAGTTCTTTTAAAGTCTGAATAATCTACCCTGAAAAAGAAGCTATTCACAGTTTTTTACAAACAGCTTTTGAAAGAGATCAAGGGGGCTCTGTGATAATATTCAGAAAGATAACAGAATTTCCAGTCAAGGGACAGGCCTGGGAGCTCTAATAACTGCCTGCAGGGCATTTGGGGGAACAGAGACTGGTCTGCACAAGGGCCAGTTTATTTCAAAATTGGAGGGGCTGTCACATAGAAGAGGAGATTGACCTGTGCGCCAAAGTGTCATAGAGAAGAATAAGAAGTAACAAATGGAGACTAGAATTAGGAGAAAGTTCCTGTCAGTGAGAACAATCAATGAAACAGTTTGCCTGCAGACGTTGTGCGTGTTTCATCACTGGAGATTTTTAAGAAGAGATTGGACTGCCATTTGTCAAGAATAATATGGCTTTCCTACCTGAGCAGGGGATTGGACTAGAAGTCCTCCGAGGTCCCTTTCAACTCTCATTATTCTCTTGTGGACCTGCTGTTTTCTTGACAACAATATCAGACTGAAACTGCAACTATTTTTTTCTGGGATTTTAATTTTTTTACTTCTATTTATAGCTAACAAGCACGGTATTTCCTATTGGTTCCCCATATGTGTATTAACGAGGTTCAACTGTGCTTAAGCCAGCACTTCTGAAAGAATAGCTATGGAAGACCTTTCAGGATGTTCAAAGTGTCGTAGAGCAGAACAAGAAGTAACAGATGGAGACTAGAATTAGGAGAAAGTTCCTAGTCAGTGAGAACAATTTTATTTTTTTACTTTTATTTATAGCTAACAAGCACGGTATTTCCTATTGGCGCCCCATACTTGTATTGACGAGGTTCAACTTTGCTTAAGCCAGCACTTCTGAAAGAATAGCTATGGAAGACTTTTCAGGATGTTCAGTTGTGTAAGTAGTCCTCATTTACCACTTCTTCTCTGGGCCTGTGATTATGAAAATGCAGGAAAAGGGAGTTGCACCAGTTCGGATGCTGCCAATTGTTGCACGTTTATGGTGGCTGCAGTATCCCACATTCATGATCCCCATCTGTGACCTTCCCAGCTAGCTTCTTACAAGCAAAATCAATGGGTATACCGGTAGGAAATTCAAAGCCACAGTCATGTGAAATTCCCTTTAACAATCCATGGTGATTTGCTTAACAAGTCCAGAGGAACAGATGTAAGTTGGCACTATCATGCTAACATCATGCTTAATGTTCGGGCTGCTTAATGACACAGATGTCAGTCCCAATTGCAGTCATTATGTGAGGAGTACTTCAATTGGGATGTCAGCAGAAGGATTGTGGAGAGTAGTTTTCCCCCTTATTTGTGGTCGAGGAGTTCCATGTGCAAATCTTGCAGAGGCTTTAGGCATCATTTCATCAGTTAAAGCCCCCACACCTCTAAAAATTAACTCAGAAGGTTTGACAGTAATCTTTTTTTCTTTTTCAGGCTGAAAACATGAATTTTCCACATAGATATAATTATAGGTATGTAATAATAATAATAATAATAATAATAATAATAATAATAATAAAGTTGGAAGGGACCTTGGAGGTCATCGAGTCCAACCCCCTGCTCAGGCAGCAACCCTACACCATTTCAGACAAATGGCTGTCCAGTCTCTTCTTAAAAACTTCCAGTGTTGGAGCATTCATCGCTTCTGGATATATTATATTACTCTTTCCATATATCTGCAATTGTATAATCTATACCCCAGACTTCCAGATATATTTTATGATAACCCATAGCAGCGCTTACGGTTTATGCAAGTCAAGGGAATTTCATGATTTAAGGGATATTTTAATCTCTGGAATATCCGATAAATCATAATTAATGTAAGAGGTTAGCATCGTGGCATGTTTGCTTTTTAAATGTAATGTATATTTTTTTCCTTTTTTTCACATCTGCAAGCATTGTATAAAGCAGCGATGGCAAACCTTTTAGAGACCGAGTGCCCAAAACCCATTTATGCATGTCGGGTGCCGGGTGGGTGTGACCATTGGCTGGGTGTTGTCAATTGGGTGGTCGTGGCTGTGATGGTAACGGCAGACTGGGTGGGACTAAAAAGTTCAATCAATCAATTCCAACTTTGCAAGATCTCCTCCCCCCCCACAAGAAGTTGAAATTGACTGATTGATTGAACCTTTTTTTTTTTTTGCACACGGGGGCGGAGGCGTAAAGCGAAAAGGTTTTATAAAACCCAGCTGAAGGCCTAGGACTGGGCGACGGCACGCGTGCCCACAGAGAAGGTTCTGAGTGTCGCCTCTGGCACCCGTGCCATAGGTTCGCCTGGCTTAGGCTAATGTTAAACTTGGTACACAAGTGGACACATCTCTGAGAATATCCCTCTCAGGGCACATCCAGTCTTGGTTATGCATACTAGAACAGTTCAGGCGAGGGCGGGGACCCTGCTAGGAGGAGGCCAGGGGCGTCTGGAAGGCGGGTGAGGGAGACCCGAGAGGCGCCCAGGTGGGCTTGGCAAATGGGAAGCCCTGTCCAGGTGGGCTTCCTTTGAGATGGAGCTCCTGAATCTGCCTCTCTTACGTGCCAAGATTCCCTCTCTGGTGACTGCTGCATCCCTGTTTCTCTCTGCCCGTGTAAGTGAACAGCCTTGTCTGCAGAGTCTTTCAATATTAATTTTAGTTTTTTATGAATTGTGAAAAAAGAAGCTCTTCACAGTTTTTTACAAACAGCTTTTGAAAGAGATCAAGGGAGTTGTGTGATAATATTCAGAAAGATAACAGAATTTCCGGTCAAGGGACAGGCCTGGGAGCTCTAATAACTGCCTGCAGGGCATTTTGGGGAACAGAGACCGGTCTGCACAAGAGCCAGTTTATTGGTTGGGCTGCAGAGGCTTCAGTTGTTGGACTAAAATGGCGCATGGAGAGTTTGTGTTTAGATGATAGCACTCTTTCAAAATTGGAGGGGTGTTGTAATCAGTGCTCAGTCATTGCAGGGTGCAAATAATGGCCGCTCACACGCAGCAGTTTATTCTTTTTATACAGTATTACAAGCAGGAAAAGGTTTAACATGGCAACAGCTGAGCAACAGCACTTCATTGGTTAATCTCCTTACCAATGCCTAAGGACAGGGAGCAAGAGGCCAGAAAGAGGGAAAAGTGGGCCATAGCACTTGTTGATCCGAGCTGTTATCAGACAAGCAAGGTCACACAGAGCTACGCACCTTCACATCGCTATGGAGATGTGAGAGGAGAAGTTAGATGCAGAGAGGAGGGGCACATGTCAGGAGAGACAGTTTTCTGATCATCGCCTTTATCTCTTCCTCATCTCCACATCTCACTCCTTTTTGTTTTGTTAGACGAAATATCGTCGTAAGCGGGGTTAATAAAAGATTATAAGCAGGAGAGGAGCATCCTTGCAGTTGTTTATATAGGGCCAAAACTTGACCCTTAGGCAATGTGAGAGAGGATTTGCTGGGATTTAAGGCTCTGATACATATATTGCAAAGTGAAGGAATACATGGCATAAAACAGCATCCACCAAGATCCTAAAGTATTAATTTTCAAATCAGAGGCCAAATTGTGTAAAATATCAATTTGGTGCTGAATGGTTTGTGAATTATCAGAAATATTAAAACAACACATTCCCTCAAAACTTTCACAACCCAAATGTTGGCACAGAAGCAAATAATCAATTGCAGCACGATTTTACAAAATAGCTTTTCTCAAATCTTGTAGTCCATGGTTGATTGCTGACATAGCTGAAGAAATAGCATTAATGTTGAGGTGGGCACGAATAGCAAGTCCTGGCGCACCCACTAAAGACATAGTTAGTGCCACATATTCTGCCTTATTAAGTAACGTTGTCTCAGAGTCACAAGTGCTGTCTAGCGTGACCCCATGTCGAGAACGGTTCGAGTGAACTTGTTGTTTGGAAAGCAAAACAGGAATTAGTCGGCTGAGGCAACTAATATTAGCAGGAATATAATTAAAAGTTTCTTGACCACATGTGAAAAACCATCCTTGTAGTAGCCAAATATGTCCATAATGAAAGAAAGTCTCTTCAAAAGTTGTGCAGTTTAAAACAGGTGAACTAATGCGATGACAGTGAGGTTTTTTACTTGAAGAAGTAGAATTAACTATTTTTGCACATGTTATTTTTGCAGGGATAGCTACCACCGGAGTATGCAAAGCAATAGCGTCAGGGGGTGGATAATAAGCAGTAACCCCCCATCTAGATATAGCTTTATAGTTAAAGTTCCCATTGAATAAAATTCTGCTCAAGCCAGTGAAGTTTTGAATTACTGCAGAAGGGGTACAAACAGATTAAACATATAGAAAGCAAATTTTTCATGTCATACATTTCAGATAAGCAAAATACATTATTTTGTGTGATGTTAGCCAGCTGCACCCATAGATTTTGCTTCATTCGTTGCTCGAATGATTGGTGGCAGCGGTGGGATGACAGTTGCTGTTGTCAAAGGGCAGATGTTAATGATCAGACACAAACAAATGATGACTAAGGAATTTGCAGTTAACCGCAAAAATGGTAGCACACAGGTTCTGGGGATTTGCTCTACTTGTTGCTATTGTTGCACTGCCTGTGTTTTGGCGTTCAAGTTCTTTACATCTCCCCATGTCACTGGCCGACTGGCATGCCGGATCGGATTAGTTGCTGTGCCATCTGTAGAGTCACCTTGGCCATTTCTGGGGCTGGATCCAGGGACTGGTCCCAACCATGCTTTGTCTGGTAATGCCCAATAATATACCAGAGGGAGAGGCAAGCTTGTTTTCTGTTGAAAGTGTCTCTGATAAGTGATCGAATTTGGAATGGAAATATTCAATTGGTGTAATGTAAACAATACTTTTGTTGTTGTTGTTATGTTACCCATGACAAATTGGGTACTCTAGATCCGTCCTTTTTATTTGTTTGTGAAGGCAGTTCTTAAAGGACCAATTAGCACGTTCCACGATGGCTTGACCCGTGGAATTATAGAGAAGGCCATGAGTAAAAACAATATTCCAGGTTGTGAGGCGTGGCCCAAATTGTTCCTGAATAGGTATCAATAGATAAATGAATACATTTCCAGGGAGCTAAAAAGAGAATATGGGTAACATCCAATTGCCATAGTTGATTAGAGGCAAAAACACGGGGATTAGGAAGACATAAAAAAAATATGCCCAGGAAGAAAAGAGTGACTGCGCATATGAAAAATAAAATATCTTGTAGCAGCTGCTGTCAAGGGAAAAACAAAGTCATAAGATTGGGGTCAATCCTGGGCGTGATGTAAGCACCTGGAAGATTAAAAATAAGTTGGCACACATAATGAGAGTCAGAGATTAAGTTAAAAGATTGTTGAGAAAAGGTGTGAAAAGCCAAGATAGCAGCAGCTAATTCTGAGCATTGTGATGAGGACTGTATTGCAGTGTAGGACACTTTTTAGGTAACATCAGGAGGATCCTTGTAAGCACTTGCTTCTCTCGTTCTCCCTCCAGCTCCTACTCCAAAAGACAGTAGGAGCTTGTGGCAAGGGAGAAGGAGAAAGCAGTAGATGGACAGGAAAGAAAAAAGTCATTAAACAAGCAAGTCAAGGATCTTTAGGCAGATGATATGAAATACAGCCTATATACTAAAGACATAAGTTATCCTGAAAATAAAATTGAAAATCAGATTTTGGAATAGAAAAAACAATATTAATTAAATCAGTTCCATTTGGATGGCAAGCTCGTGTGCGTCCTAAGGTTATTATTTCAGCAACCACCTGAATAAAAAATAAAACATTTTGGGATTGGGTGTGGGGTAAATAAAGTCATTCAATACAATATATTTTTTGTACTTTTATCACAGCTAATACTCCTGTAGGTAATTGATTAGTAGGAAAAATCAAAAGTGTTAACTGACAATTTTTATGTGGAATTCTGTCCACAAATTGAGTACTCATGATGTCATTAATTTGTTCCACTGTGACAAGTGCTGCAGATGGAACTACAATGAAATTTTCAGGTTGTTTTCCTTTGGTCAATAAGTCAAATAATGGACTGAGCAAATTTGTAGGTAAAAAAAAACTACGGGCAAACCCAATTAAGGGTGCCTAATAATTGTTGCAAATTGACCAAGGAAATAACTTTGGGTAGGCTCAAACGAGGAAGAATTGGGGCAGAATAAGATTGCAACATTGTATGCTTTAAATGAAGATAGGGAGAATGCAACTGTATTTTTTCTGGGGCAACTTGCATTCCATAAAGACTTAAATCATGTTGTATTTCTAAAAGCCAATTAGATTGTGTCTTTGGTGTTCCAATTAGAATATCACCCATATAATGATATACCAAAGCCAACGGGTGACGTTTGTGCTACGCAGCAAGAGTGGATATCAAACTTCCCCTGTTCCACTCTTCTCAAATCGCAATTCTAAGCAGAGGAAAAAAAGTTTCAAACGAACAGCTCCCCCCCTTTCTTCCTGTCTCTCTCTCGCTTTTAAAGCAACACAGCCAGCCGAAAGAGACGGGGGGGGGGAACTCATCACCAAAAAATAGGTTTCTCTCCTACATATGCCTTTCCATAAAACTCTTCTCACCCATCCTTCATCCTTATCTATCTCCTCCCCCTCCTTCACTTTCTCCATCTCCTTCATAAACCTCTTCTCATGCAAACACTTACTATTACTTTTCAATTACTTTTACAACAATAAAATCTACAGTTCATTATTTCTTTCACAGCCTGGGAGAGAGTGGGTGGGGGGTGGGGTTTGAGGGCTGACACACACACTTAGGTATCACCAAATGAACTCATTCACTTCCATTCTAAAAAATTCCAATGCATAAATAATTCCACATACAAATATTTCATTTCATGTTTTCTCCAGGCAAACCATTTATTCTTAAATAAGGCCTTTTTGTATTGTTTGTTATCAGAGAGGGTTTGACCCTCTTCCATGTCTTGGAAATAACACAGAACAACATAGACAAACATATATACACAAATACTGTTAAAACAACATTTATTTAAACATATGACTTGTCCTGCAAGAAGCGAGAAAAATCAAGAGCTGATTCCAACCAAACATGTGGTTTTTATATAGGGCCCTTTATCATCTCCTATTTTTCTCACCATTCTAAGCCCAAGCATAATGTTCTGGGTGGCCACACACACACACACACACACATATATATACATATACATATTAAAAATTACACTAAAAATGGTCGAGTGATTCCTGGGTATATACATGTTAAAAGCTGTACAACGACACTATAACACCAGGAAGAGTTAAAACCAAAAAGTTTTAATAAATATTTAAAAACCTAGCTTTCGTTGAATATCTATCAACGTCATCAGGGTGTATGTTGGTCAGTGGGAGGGCCCCTTTATAGATGAAGTGATGTTGACGCCCTGACCCATAGATCTTGTTACTGGGCCTAGCCGGCCATTCAACTCTATAGTTGTGGCTTCTGTAGTGTTGGCTGGATTACTGCTGCTTGCTTTTCCTACTCTCGAGTATTCCTTTTTTCTTGCTCCCAAGGTGGATGTGTCCTTAATCATGTTGCGATCACTTATGGCTCTCAGACTTATGGGGTGTTCTTTCCCATTAGGTATTTTAGGGTGCCTTATATCTGTGGGTTCACCACTCTCCCCGCACTCTCTATGCCCATGTCTGACTTTGTTCTGGTCAGCTGTACTTCTCACATCCCCAAGCTGCTCTCCCATTCTATTCTTATATTTCATATCTACACTTTCCTTCTCTTTCCCCCCACTCGCTCCATGCCCGTATCTATTACTATCATTCTCTCTGCTGTGACGTACTGTGTTTTGTCTTTTCTCCTCCCCCATAGTTTCAATGACTGCACTTCGTTTGCCCTCCCCCTCTTTGGAGCTCTGTTTGGAGCTCTGTCCGGTTGTTCTTCCATCGGTCTTTCCTCCCTCTATACTGGGTCTTAGCGCTATGCTTCGGGAGCGTGCCCCGGGAGCGATCACACTTTCATACTTCACTGGGCCTGTGAGTATGAAAATGCAGGAAAAGGGAGTTGCACCAATTCGGATGCTGCCAATTGTTGCGTGTTTATGGTGGCTGCAGTATCCCACATTCCTGATCTCCATCTGTGACCTTCCCAGCTAGCTTCTTACAAGCTAAATTAATGGGTATACCGGCAGGAAATTGCAAGCCACAGTCATATGAAATTGCCTTTAACGATCCATAGTGATTTGCTTAGCAAGTCCAGAGGAACAGATGTAAGTTGGCACTATCATGCTAACATCATGCTTAATGTTCGGGCCGCTTAATGACACAGATGTCAGTCCCAATTGCAGTCATTAAGTGAGGAGTACTTCAATTGGGATGTCAGCAGAAGGATTGTGGAGAGTAGTTTTCCCCCTTATTTGTGGTCGAGGAGTTCCATGTGCAAATCTTGCAGAGGCTTTAGGCATCATTTCATCAGTTAAAGCCCCCACACCTCTAAAAATTAGCTCAGAAGGTTTGACAGTAATCTTTTTTTCTTTTTCAGGCTCAAAACATGAATTTTCCACATAGATATAATTATAGGTATGTGCATTTATATTACTTTTTCCATATATCTACAATTGTATACTCTATACCCCAGACTTGCAGATTTATTTTATGATAACCCTTAGCAGTGCTTAAAATTTATGGTTGATGCAAGTCAGGGGAATTTCATGATTGAACAGATATCTGAAGTTGGATCTCTGGAATGTCCGATGAATCATAATTAATGTAAGAGGTTAGCATTGTGGTATGTTTGCTTTTTAAATGTAATGTATATTTTTTCCTTTTTTCACATCTGCAAGCATTGTATAAACAATTAAACTTACACATTTCTTTGAATCTTACAGACAAAGAGGATGGCAGTAAGAGCACTCTGGAGAAGTGAGAATAACTTTTGAAAAGGAAAGCAAATCCAGCCAGAAATCAAAATATTTTCCATTTCCTTCAGAAAATTACGCAATTGTCCCATCCAAGCAGGCGAAAGGGAAGAGAAAATCAAGAAGAGATTTCAAGCTGGAAATAGTAGAGTGTGCGGAACACAAGGATAGGTTACATGACAAGGTAGAGGGGATCATTTTTCCATTCAGAAAAAGGGAAATATCTGGAAGTCAGTGGGGAAGAAAAGGTCAATTGGATACTCAAATAGGGCAGACAGCAATGCAGAACTCCCAATGGGAGGAAGAAAACAGTAGGTGAAATCAAAGCACCACTAAACAAGGGACCACATACATTTTTGACTTCCTCCAGCATATCAGTGGATTGCAAAAGCGTAGGTGATTACGTACAAGAGGATCAAAACTGGAATAAAGGCATACAAATGCTACTAATGTAACAAAATCTTTGGTCAGAATATCTCCCTTGTGGTTTATAAAAGGATCCACACAGGACAGATGCCCTATAAATGCTCCCAATGTGGTAAATGCTTTACCAAGCAAAATAATTCACACAGGAGAGAAACCACAGGAGTGTCCAGTTTGTGAAAAAAAGTTCCCCTGTAAAATACTAACTTGTGAAACACCAGATGACTCACACAGGAGAGAAACCCTTTGAATGTTCGGATTGTGGGAAACGTTTCACTCGTAATTACAACCTGATGACACACCAGAGGACTCACACAGGAGAGAAACCCTTTGAATGTTCAGATTGTGGGAAACGTTTCAGTTTCAGGTATAACCTGATGACACATCAGAGGACTCACACAGGAGAGAAACCCTTTGAATGTCCTGATTGTGGGAAATCTTTCAGACAGAATTCCACCCTGGTGATACACCAGAGTATTCATACAGGAGAGAAACCCTTTGAATGTTCGGATTGTGGGAAACGTTTCAGTTTCAGTTCTAAACTGGTGAAACACCAGCAGACTCACACAGGAGAGAAACCCTTTGAATGTTCAGATTGTGGGAAATCTTTCACTCTGAATCACAACCTGATGACACACCAGAGGACTCACACAGGAGAGAAACCCTTTGAATGTTCAGATTGTGGGAAACATTTCAGTTTCATTTATAACCTGGTGAGACATCAGAGGACTCACACAGGAGAGAAACCCTTTGAATGTCCTGATTGTGGGAAAGGTTTCAGTCAGAATTACCACCTGGTGATACACCAGCAGACTCACACAGGAGAGAAACCCTTTGAATGTCCTGATTGTGGGAAATGTTTCAGTGTCAGTTCCAACCTGAAGAAACACCAGATGACTCACACCGGAGAGAAACCCTTTGAATGTCCTGAGTGTGGGAAATCTTTCATACATCATTCCAGCCTGGTGAGCCACCAGAGGATTCACACAGGAGAGAAACCGTATGAGTGTGCACTTTGTGGGAAAAGTTTCAGCTGGAATTCCAACCTGGTGAACCACCAGAGGACTCATACAGGAGAGAAACCATATGAGTGTTCAGTTTGTGGGAAAAGTTTTATTAAAAATTCCGACCTAGTATACCACCAGAGGACTCACACAGGAGAGAAACTGTTTGAATGTTCTGATTGTGGGAAACGTTTCAGTCGCAATTCCCACCTGGTGACACACCAGAGAACTCACACAGGAGAGAAACCCTTTGAATGTTCTGATTGTGGGAAACATTTCAGTTGCAATTCCCACCTGGTGATACACAAGAAGACTCACACAGGAGAGAAACCCTTTAAATGTTCGGATTGTGGGAAATCTTTCATACGCTATTCCAACCTGGTGATACACCAGAGGACTCACACAGGAGAGAAACCCTTTGAATGTCTTGATTGTGGGAAACGTTTCAGTTTCAGTTCCTGCCTAGTGAGACATCGGAGGACTCACACAGGAGAGAAACCCTTTGAATGTCCGAATTGTGGGAAACGTTTCAGTTTCAGTTCCAACCTGGTAAGACATCAGAGGACTCACACAGGAGAGAAACCCTTTGAATGTTCGGATTGTGGGAAATCTTTCGTACACAATTTCACCCTGGTGGTACACCAGAGAACTCACACAGGAGAGAAACCCTTTGAATGTCCTGATTGTGGGAAACGTTTCAGTCAGAATTCCTGCTTGGTGACACACCAGAGGACTCACACAGGAGAGAAACCCTTTGAATGTCCTGATTGTGGGAAACGTTTCAGTTCCAGTTCCAGCCTAGTGAGACATCAGAGGACTCACACAGGAGAGAAACCCTTTGAATGTCCAGATTGTGGGAAATGTTACAGCTACAGTTCCAACCTGGTGATACACCAGAGGACTCACACAGGAGAAAAGTCCTTTGAATGTCCTGATTGTGGGAAAGGTTTCAAGAAAAGTTCTAAACTGGGTAAACACCAGAGGACTCACAAAGGAGAGAAACCCTTTGAATGTCCTGATTGTGGGAAAGGTTTCAGTTTCAGTTCCAACCTGGTGAGACACCAGAGGACTCACAGAGAGAAACCCTTTAAATGTCCTGATTGTGGGAAAGGTTTCAGTCAGCATTCCAACATGGTGAAACACCAGAGGACGCATACAGGAGAGAAACCATAAAAGTGTCCAGTTGTGGGAAAAGATTTCAGTATTAGGTCTAACATTATACATCATATATCACACAGGGGAGAAACATTTGAAATTGGACTTGAAGGTGGAGCGAAGAAATATGGAAAATATTAGTTTCATATAGACTAACTACCCAATTGTGAAATTCCCCGGCTAGTGTAGAGTTAGTCCTTGGGATACAATTGTAATGGGACCGTTACAGCCGTTAAATGAATGTGCAAGTCATTCAACAACACTGGCTACCTCACTGTTGGGGGAAACTCTTGGTTGTCCTAGATTTACAACTGTAATTTAGCCTGCAATTACAGTCGTAAATCAAGAGGGTCATTAATGGGTCATCACACGATGTGCTCAATTTTGTAACCTATTTTGTGGGAGCACAGAAGGAAGTGCGCATGAGGCAAACATTGATGAGTTTAGAGAAGACTTGAATTTCATTTCTGATTTCCCATTGGGTGTTTTGAGATTATGAAAATCCAACATACGGAGTTTCAGCCTTGTTTCTTGTGCTCCAGATTTTGATCACTTTCCCAGCCAGCTTACCAGTAGTCCTCAAGTTACTACTGTAATGGGGCCTGTCAGTTACGGATGCACGTTGCAAAAACCATGAAATGAGATTGGTTTGGTTAATTACCTCCACCCTCCATGATGCAGCCATTAAACAGATGTGCAACTCGCTAAGTGGAACACTAGCAACCCCCCTGTTCAGGGAAGGCCTAGACTTGCCTCTCTCCCCCCCCAGGGATCCCTGGGCCTCCCCCATTCACAAGACACCCTGTGCTCTGCTTCCCAACCCTTGGTTCCCCCAGAGCTTTTCCTCCCTTACAGGGCCCCACCAGGCTTTTCTCCCGCCCCACGGTCCCCACAGGTATGTCCCCCATGGTACCTCTGGCCTTTCCCCTACAGTATTTGGGGGGCTGCCCCAAAGAACACGGGGTCAAATTACTCTCCAAAGCACCAGAGGGCAGGACAAGAAACAACGGTTGGAAACTGATCAAAGGGAGAAGCAACCTGGAATTAAGGAGAAATTTCCTAACAGTGAGGACAATCAACCAGAGTGTTATGTGCTCCTGGCTACTTTCCTTCATGACCAGAGGCAAGCTCACCTGACCAATAACCAGCCAAGGCCTTTTATTTCATTTAATGCAATAAGCGAGGAGAGAAGCTATCAAAGCTTGGTTCTCTCCAAAGTTCCAATCCAAACTTCCTTCTTTATACAACCCTGTCAGGGCCGCCACATCCTTCCTCATTCCCCACTGCAGTTTCTTTGGTAAGCTTGTTTGTCTATTTCAGTACGTTTCCATTGTACAGCAGATTCTATTTTAAATGTTTCAATATTAAATTTTGAAGACCTTTCATTCACTTCTATCAAGAGGAACAGCTTGCCTTCAGAAATCGTGGGTGCTCCATCACTGGAGGTTTTTAAGAAGATACTAGAGAGTGACATCTGGAATGGTATAGGTCCGTGGTGGCGAATCTATGAAACGCATGCCACAGGTGGCACGCAGAGCCCTCTCTGTGGGCACGTGCGCCGTCGTCCAGGGCCTTCAGCTGGGTTTTATAAAACCTTTTCGCTTTAGGCTTCCGCCACCATGTGTAAAGAAAAAAAGTTTGAATCAATCAATTTTAACTTCTCATGGAAAAAAAAAAAGATCTCGCAAAGTTGGAATTGATTGATTGAAATTTTTAGTCCCACCCAGTCTACCGTTACCACCGCAGCCATGCCCACCATATGGGCCACGCCCAATCGGCACCCGATGATACATAAGTGGGGTTTTGGTTGCAGTTTGGGCAGTCGATCTCTACAAGATTCGCCATCACTGGTATAGGTTCTGCTTAAGCAAGGGACTGGACTAGAAGACCTCCAAGGTCCCTTCCAGCTCTATTCTATTCAAGATTGCTTCTTTAATGGGTCTTTTGTATATATTTTCCCTTGGGGCCTCCTCCCCTTGATTGTCAGGATCCCTCTCCATTTGAAATCTCTGAAAACCTGACTGCAACTGTTGATAGCAGTTAGGAAAGGAGCTTCCATGCATTTCCCTCAAGGCTGGCATTGTGATGTACAGCTTCCTTGTGGCATCGGATGGCTCCTGTGATTAATTTCATTTTATCCTTGGGGAACATCTAATTCTATTGGCAGAAAGGAAACTAATCAAGGGGAGAAGGAACTTGGAATTAAGGAGAAACTTCCCAACAGTGAGGACAATGAACCAGTGGAACAGCTTCCCTTCAGAAGTTGCAGGTGTTTCCATCACTGGAGGGTTTTAAGAAAAGAAGAGACACCCACCTACCTAAAATGGTATATTCTGATTGCTTGAGCAGGGGATTGGACTAGAAGACCTCTAATGTCCCTTCCAGCTCTGTTCTGATTGATTGATTGAATTAAGTGCAGAGCAGAAATAAATACTAAATTTCAATATACAAAGTAGACACATTAAAACTGACACAAGGAAACTAGCAGAATAACGCCCCACCCCCAAAAACTATTTTTACAATAATAATAGACCCCACAAAACGTACCAACACTATGTGGCTAACAAAACTGACCGAAATAAAAGACAACCCCAAAGGCAGAGGAGCTGCTACACAGGGCCAGGCCAGAAGCCACCAGTCCCCAATCAGAGGAACCCTCCATTTCCTGAACAGAAAAGTCTAAAGCTCAGATTGAAAGATGAAAAAGATCCGTTATCTGGAGAGTAAGGGGGAGCCCATTGCAAAGAGGTTGGATTGGATCTTGAAAGCTGCAGCCTTGAATTTGCTGTTGGAGCAGCAGGAAGAGGTCAAATGGGTGGATTCTGTGGGGAGGAAGAAGATCCAGCTGGGTGTACTGGTAAAGGCACCAGGGTAGAGACTGGGAAATGCTCAGTTCTAGTCCCGCCTTACCTGCTAAGCCATCTGTGCAACTCTGGCCAATCCTACCAGGCCTAGGCCTAAGCAGGAAAGCAGGAATCCACTTGACTTGACTTGACTGACTTGAAGGCATCAAAAACAAATATCCGGTGTAAGGCTCTGGGACGCTGGATGGAAAGCCGCGAGTTCTAATTCAGTTTTAGCTTAGGCATCATGACTCCTTCCAGGAGCTATGGATTGTTGAGAGGCAAAAAGTATGTCTCAGTATGCATTTAGCATTCAGCAGATGTAAAAAAGTTTCCTCCAGGAATGAAGCTTCATGGTGGGTGCTGCTGGATGCAGCCCTGGCTGGCAGGAGTGAAGATGGCCCTCCTATAGTGTCTCACCTTGGGAGCCACAGGAATATCTGTGATAAAAGTTTTGGGGTGTAGAGACGTTTTGATCTCCACTGAGAGTCACCCCTAAGAAAGCGCAAGAATCTTTACATCAACTTTCTGCTAACTCCCGCCATTCTCGCATGATCTAACTCAGGTAGGCAACCCAAAACAGTCAAAGCGCCACTTGGACCGTTTCCCACTGAAAACAAAACACGGGGATGCTGCAACAGTTGTAAGAATGAAAAACGGTCATAGGTCACGTTTTTCATGGCCATTGTAACTTCAAACGGTCACTGAACAAATAGTTGTAAGACGAGGACGACCTGTATCGCCTGACTAGATGTGGATGGGGACCAATATGGTAGCCTGCTTCCAGGTTTGTACCATATTTTATTATTCTATTTACAGGATGAAGTTGGCAATCATTTAGGGCAGGGGTGTCAAACTCAATTTCATTGTGGGCCACATCAGCATTGTGGTTGCCCTCGGGGGGGGCAGGGTGGGTGCAGCCTACTGGGTGAGCATGGATGGAGTGGGTGTGGCCAGCTCTACATCATTCACATAAAGGGTGCTTGTGGGGGCCTGGGCAAGAGTGGGACAGATCTGAGAGTCTCTGGCAGAAAGGGAAGGGACCAGGGCAGAGCCCATCAAGCCGGGTATATGAAGTAGGCAAGGGCCATTTGCTGGCCACTTCCAGGCGATGGTGCATTTTTTCATTCCTCACAAAGGGTGACACCTCCCCAGCATGCACCCAGGGAGTGGGGCCGACGCGGCAGGGGCTGGTTCTTCGCTGTGTCCAGGATGTCTTCGCGGGCCACATGAAACCACTTCGCGGGCTGCACCCGGCCCCCAGGCCTTGTGTTTGACATGTCTCATTTAGGGGCTCCACATGCAAACAAGTACACCACAGAATACTTCTTGGTATGATAGAAAAATATGAGATAGATGATAGCAGCAGCACCAGATGGAATGGTAACTGGCTGACCAGCAGCACTCAACATGTCATCTTCAATGGAACTAAATATATGTGGAGGGAAGCATGCAGCGGGGTACCCCAAGGCTCTCTCTTAGGCCTAGTACTCTTCAATATCTTCATAAGTCATTAAGAGAAGGGGGGAATAGCCAAACCTGGAACACTGGGCCCTTTAGAGCAAAATGCAATTCAGTGGTGAAAAAAATGAGGTTTTACACTTAGGCATGAAAAACCAAACGCACATCTATAGAAGAGGTTGGATATATCCCAACAGCAGTATCTGTGAGAGGATCTAGGACTCTCAGTGGACAATCACTTAAGTATGATTTAGCAATGCGATGAAGCTGCAGAAAAAGTGAGTGCAGTCCTGTTCTGCATCACCAGAAGGATAGTATCAAGATCACATGAAGTGTTAGTAATGAATTACTGCTGCACTTAAAATACTGCATCCAGGTTTGGTCATGATACAAAAAGAGATGTTGAGACTCTAGAAAGTGCAGAAAAGAGCAACAAAGATATTTAGCGTACTGGATGCTAAAAATCAGATGAGCAGTTGGAGGAACTGGATATGTCTAATTTAATGCAGAGAAGGACTTAAGGGTGGCCTGATAGTTTTTCGGTATTTGAGGGGCTGACACATCTATTCCCCAAAGTGCCTGAGAGCAGTAAAAGAAGTAATAGAAGGGAGACCTATCAAAAACAGATCCAACCGAGAATTAAGGGGAAGATTCCTGTCTGTGAAACCAATTAATCAGTGGAACAGCTTCCCTCTAAAAGTTGGGAGTGCTCCATCTGTGGAGGTTTTTAAGAGGAGACTGGACAGCCATTTGTTCAGAATGGTGTAAGTAAGGTCTTTGCTTGGAGAGTTACAACTCTTTAGTGTGTATTTCTGTTTGAACTTCACACACTTCTAGGACTCAGCATGGAGCTAATCTTTGTAAACTAAGTAGGATCACTTTTCACTGTTTCACTAGGTCAGGGGCCGGCAACCTTAAACACTCAAAGAGC